AGCATCCTATAATCCATGCAATACCTTTCATATCACCACAAGCATATGCATCTTATATATTGTATTTGTTAGTGTCTCTTTATTAGCCCATGGTACACTGGTGAGAACTGAAGGTATGTGAGTACACTGAGGTTGTGCACAAATGCTGTCACCACAGCTCGTATAAATTGCACCAAAGTGCCACGTAGAAATTGTCCCGAAGGACCGCATAGAAATACACCGAAGTGCCACGTAGAATTGCACCGTAGTGCCATATAAGATTGTCCATAAGGACCACATATAAATTTCTTAAGAATCATATACATATACCAAGGATCAAGTAAGTGTCTCAAAAGACCTCATACATGCTCCAAAGAATACATATACGTTCCGAAGGACCACGTAGAATTTATCTCGAATGACCGCGTAGACCCTCTACTCTTAGCATGCCAACTATATCTATAGCTCTCTTATCATATAACATGGGCATTATTTTTCATATTTATCACTTGTCATATCATCACATAGTTCAATTACACATAGAACATTTTCATATGATTCATATTCATATGTTGCATAGCTTATACTTTGTTCTTATACCTTCACATAGACATATATTCTTTCTCACGTGGTCACATAGGTTCATATCATATAACATATATCATGGGTTGCATATTTATATGCCACATATTTCATATCACTTTGCATAGAATCACATATCTTGTTTCATATGGCTTATAAAATTTCTCCTTTGTTCATATATTTTATTTTCACATATGGCATATCACATAAATCACATGTGCATATAATCGCGTAGTTTACTTTCATGTAATTCATGTCACTTTTCATATGAATTCATACATCATACAAATCATATAATCTCTTGTTCTCATATGTTTCCAATCCATCACATATATCACTAATACATTTTCACATAAACATGTAAATCATGTAACATATAAGAATATATATTCATTTCTATATATTAATATACACATAATAATCACATAACATGATAAAAGTTACTTTTTACCATAGTAACTCCATCATTGGCTCATCGCAAGCCAATGTTTTGTTCAAGAACCTAAGTACAAAATAAATTGCACTCACCTTAGTCTTGTTTTGATTCAATCCCAATTCTTTGATTGTTCCAGAATTTGTTTAGGCTCACTATCTACATAAACATAATTTCCGAGATGAATTTCAGAATCCTAAACCTTATAACTTGATGTTAATAACTCAGACTAATTTAATAAACCAAATTTCAGCTTTTCCTTTAAGAGTGCATCGATGCACTATGGGTGCATCGGTGCACAAAATAGCTTCGAAATATCCATGCATCGATACATGATTTACATTCGATGTTTTCATTTTAAGGGGGTGCATCGATGCACTCCTTATGCATCGATGCACTCCTTATGCATCGATGCACTAATTGTATTCTAATATGATAAGACCAGAAGAAGTTTTCTCATAAGGTGTGAGCACGAATTATTCATTTTGAGCTTTCGTAGAAGAGGTATTTAGTTAAGGCGTGGGCACGGCTTATTCATTTGGAGCTTTCGCAGAAGAGGTCTTTAGTTAAGGCGTTGGCACGGCTTATTCATTTTGAGCTATTGCATTCGAAAATCATCAACACTTCACCCAATTTTTCATGTATACAATTATTATTATGCTACTAAATTCATCTATAACAACTTTAACCAATTCCTATCATTCCAACACCTTATAATCTTCCATATTTCAACATGATTCTTAGAATTAATAATCATACCCAATTTTTCATGTTATCCAAACTTTATTCTAAGACTTATAACTTCTTATTCTCATAGATGACAAGTCAAATTCAACCTCCAAATTCATTTAAACCTTCTTATTCAAAATTTCACTTAAAAACCCATTTTCTTTAATCTTTCATAACTTCTTTATCTTCTGATTTTAATACAAATTAAGCTTTCCTTAAGCTTAATTATCATCTAAGGATCAAAACCCAACCTTTAATTGAACAAATAATCAACTAAATAAAAACTCACCTTTGCCTAGCTTCCACGGTTGGAGAAGAAGAAATGGAGAAGAAGATGAAATGTTTTCATCTCACTCTCCCCACTTGAATCATTGATATAAATGGAAAAAAATATCTTTCTTGTCAAATGACCATTTTGCCCTTTAATTTTTTGGATAATTACTATAAACTTTTAGGAAATATCCCCAAATAAATCATTGAACTATTCAACTATTTTACTTTAATCACCAAATTCTAAAAATTTACGATTTGGTCACTAACCCGTAGTTTGGGATGTTACACCAAATAAATTAGTTAGTTCAATAACAATATAATAGAGACCGACCTCAATCACCGAAAGTCTCAGCTTTTCAATTCCACATTTCAGCTTGAAAAAAAAAACCCAAATAATTGGAACATTTGGGTTTGATAAATCATTTAGAGTTCCAAATGCAGGAAAAACCCCAAATAACAATCTGAAACCAAGTTCTCTTCAAAATAAAACATAGGTTCCAAGCAAAAAGATCATTACTTTGACACTATTAATGGAGAAAACATGGGCTTGACCAACTGGAAAAATAACAGAACAAATGCAGGAGGATAAATTCAACAGGAAAACAGTAACCGACACTATTAATGAAGAAATATATGCTAGCGGGGAGAAGAAAGGGAGTGGATAAGAAATCTTACCAGGAATCTCACTGGGAAACGATGAACTTTTCCCAACACGGGGGAGAAGAAGATATCGCGCAGAGGCAAGCTGAAAAAGAGGGGAATTTTAGCCTTTAGCACGAGAATAAAATAAAATCTAATGGTTGCGAAAACTATGAAATAAATGAAACATAATAAACAGGAAAAAGAAGGAAAAAAAAAGTAGTAAGAAGTATGAACCTGAAATTACAAATCTTATATTTCAACTCATAAAGTAAGACTTGGAAACGATTCCTGCACACAAAATGAATAATCAAATTCAATGTTCAAATCAATCTAAAAACTACAACATAGATTTTTTCAATGCAAAATTCACAGAGATAATTTCAACTTTAGAATATGAGATCAAAGAACTAAATCAACAATTTAATCGAAAAGACGAATAAAATAAAAAATATCAAATCATTTATAAAAAAAATAAAGAACAACAATTCATAATGATTTCGTATACATATACGAGATTGAATAAAAATGAAAGGGAAAAAAGGAAGAGACAAAAAGTAAGGAGAAATAAAATATTTTTATTAGATGATAAAATGATAAATGAAATTTGAATAAAGGGAAAAAATGAAAGGGGAAACTTACGAATTTGCGGAGGAGGGAGTCGTTGAGGGGAAACCATGGTGATAAGCAAACGCTGCGTGAGGGAGGAGGAAGAAGAAGGGGATGAATCCCGATAGCCAGAACGAAGTGGAAGAAGGTTATTTTAGACAACGGGGACGAGAATAATGAAATACCTAAGGAGATGTGGGGATAGATATTACCGGGAAAACAGGGGGGAAATCATTGTTGGTATTAATTTATTCCTGGCATTTGGTAATGTGCCCATCCAAACGTGGGTATATTTTTCTGGGAAAAAACATTCCCCCTGGGAATAAATTATACCCTGAACCAAACGGGGCCTAAGATTGGAGAGAACTTGAAGCGGTGACGGCGCGAGTTCGACCATGGCTCAAGCTAAAGCACTCTGAGTCTCGGTCAAGGTCATTGGATCTCCTTAGATCCAACGGTGGATAATTGGCGGCGCTGGCTTCCCTATATTAAGGTAAAAACCCTAATGGTACATCAGATCTGAACCGTTAAATCTAATATGATCCAACAATTCCTAGGAGTGGCGGCTGAGGAGAAAAACATAAAACCCTAATATGCTAGACTCCTTTGCTTGTTAGGGTCACTGGTAGTTGGATGTATTTGATTTGGGCATTGTAATTAGGGATGAGCATGGGTCGGGGTTCGATTAACCCGAATGACTCAAAATTTTCACATCCTTCACTCGACTTGACTCGAAAAATATATATCATCTACCCGATCCGAACGCGACTTGATTTTTTGAGATAAAATCCGAATCTGATCCTACCATACCCGTAATAATAAAAAATATTATTTTTATTCAATAAAAACAATAATTTAATTGAAAAAATTAATATATAGAGGGTTATTATTATAATTATTTTTAAATATATAAGGAAAAATTATATTTTTCCCGGGTGGGTATTTTTCACCTTAAACCAGAACTTGACCTGACACGAATATCACTTTTAAAAAACCCGACCAGACCCAACCTGAAGATGAATTTTTTAAAAAAAATCTCAACCCGATCAAGTCGAAACCCGTCGACTTCAGGTCTCATGCCCATCCCTAATTGTAATGTTCAAGTTGTAATAATATAAAGTATTAATAAAAGTTAACATTTTTTCATTTTCAAACCTTAATATTTATTTAGTATAATTAATAATTAATAATAACTATTAATAAAAGAAAGTAATACTAATATTATATTACTAATAATAATAATTAATTAAATATTAATTAACACTAATAAGGCTAATTAGATGGCAATTAATACTAATAAAACTAATTAAATGAAAATTAATACTAATAAAACTAATTAAATAGTAGTTAATGCTAATAAAGCTAATTAAATAACAATTACTACTAATAAAACTAATGAAATAATTGTTAGTAATAATAAAACTAATTAAATAGTAGTTAATACTAATAAATTAAATTAAATAGTAATTAATACTACTAATAATATTACTACTAATAATAATATAATAATAATTAAAATAAAATAAAATAAAAACTATTAAAAAATCCGGACGAAAATCGATGTCTACATATTACTTTGATAATGATTTAGGGATTAAAGTGTGATAAATGAAAAATCTGTAGATTTTAATGAAAACTGAAAATTTTAATAATTAATGGAAAAATTAATTATTAAAGATTCGATTGGACCATACAATAATTAGTTTAAATAGAAAAGATGAAATATTAGTTTTGTGATTTCACCATTTTTCATTTTTAGAAAAGGCACATATGTGTGATTTTTAGCACATGTTACAAGGCGGTCATCTTTTATTCTAGTTGTATCAAATTCTCAACCATTGATCAAATCGGCACTTGATGAATCAGTAACGAAGCGATTTCGGTCTTTACAACATTTCCAACGTGTGTATATCCATCTCCTCCCTTGTAAAGGAAATCCATAACCCTCGCTAGATTCAGAATGCAAGTAAGGGCCGGCAATGGAACCGCAGCAGCAGTCGGTTCAATCAACAACTCATGGTTTATATCCTTCCAAGCATTATCAATCAGCTTCTTTAACTCTTCGCATGCCTTTTCTTCCGAAACGCCGTGTTGCTTCGTGTAGCATTCGACGGCCGATGCAACATGTCCTCTCTCTTGCTCAAACTGCAAACATTTTGTCAACATATGAAATGAAGTAGTAAGAAACAAGAGTAATACGGTTGGTACCTTGTGTGAAACAATATCGTCCATGAGGCGGGCAATCATCGACGAAGCTCTGACGATCTTAGGGTTGTTAGATGCCCAATTGAAGGTTTCTTCTGTAACATCGTCTCCCATTCCTACAAAAGATGTGATTGTAACCATGATGTAGCCAGAGGATACTAATGCATTTTCCATGTACTCTCCTACTGTTGGTGCGTAGTTTTCATTGTACCATTTGGCCTCAACGAAATAAGCTTGTGATAATTGTTTCATCTGAAATGAACCCCGGCCCCTATATTATCTTCTGTAGGACTAAATAAATAATAAATGAGATAAAAAATGGATTTTGTTACTGTGAACTTACTGCTGCTTTTGCGTACTGAACTCTGTAAGATTTTCCTTGCTTTGTCATCACTTCCTCCATTTCTTCATAAAGATCTAACACTGCTTTGTAGAAAATTTTCATGTATTTGGGGAGTTGATCGAAACAGTCAGTATCCCACCTGAAATTAAATTGAAAGGTTATGTCAAATATTAGCCTTATATTATGTGGTCCATCATTTGAAGATATAGTTGTAAATATATATGTATGTATATATATATTGCAAACCTCTCAATGGCATTTGTCAGGAGTTGGAGTTCTTCAAATGTGCCATGCACATCATATATGTCATCCATAGTTGATGCCATGACTATTGCTTTTGTCAATATCTCTCTGGCAAAAGAGTATTGTGGCTCAAAGTACACCCCCAATATCCAAAAGTAGCATTCAACCAATCTATCTCGTGCAAATGGTAGTTTTCGCACAAAATCTAAATCTTTCCACCACCTAATGAAATTATATAACGATTAGCCCAAAAATTATTATTTGAAGAAATTTCCAAAGCAATTACATATATGAGAATCAAACAGTAGTAATCATCACCTAGAGATCTTGCTTAGCTCTTCCTTGTGCAGATTTTGTAATAAGTTGAAATCCAACTTTGCAAACTTCAATAACGTTTTGTGATGTGAATCATTTTGTTGATATAGGGAAATATAGTGCCTTGCCTCCAACCTTGGCAAGCTCCTTCGGATAGGTCGGTTTAGGGCGTGGGAGACAAGTGCTGAAAGGCCATTATGCCCTTTGGCAAACTCTAGATGAGTGGTAGTGAATGCAAGGGCCTCTTCTAGTATATGCTCTCCATCAACATTCAAATGAGAAGCCTCATAAAGTTGTAGCAACCCTTTGACATCTCTTGTCAAGGACATGTTGAAGTTTCCATTCTCATCTTTGAACTTGTTGAATATTTCTGTTCAATTTAAGACATTATATGCGTTTAGAGATTGAATCTTAATTCTATCACAAGAGTTCCATAAAGTAATTAGACTTACCGGATTCAACATTGAAGCCATTCTCTCTAAGTAGTCGAAACATAAGAGAAGTATCCTCGAGATTTTGGTGAGCTTTGTATTGGTAGCGATGATGAATATCCTGTAAAGCATCCTCTATCTCTCTTTCGAAAAGGTAACTTACACCAATGCGTTTAATCGTATCGATTAACCGCGATTTATGAGATGGCTCATCTGTAGCCACCATAAGCATCCTCTGTATCTCTTGTTTTAGTTCATCGTGTTCCTGTTGAGTTTCTGTACCCATATTCTGCAGAGTTGAAAAAGAGCATTTTCATTCCTATTCACATGCAAAGTTGCAAGCACACAGACTAAATAAAAGCATAAATATATAATAAGCTTCACCATTTTAGAGGGACGTGACAGGAAAATATCCCCCCAAACGCTGGGATGAAAGTCGGCAGAGCGACGATTCTCGCTGGAAATGGAACGATGAGCCGACGCAGAAGAAGACATTTTTCTCAGTAATTAGTTCTGGAAAACACTAGAAAATGAAATGATCATATATTGTGAATATGGAATTTGTGTGAGAGTAAGTGCATCTACGTTGCTGTATTTATAGATATATTTCTCAGTTGACAGAATGCTGAATGTTTTGCTTCAACGTCCTTCACGTTTTTCTCATGCTATTATGGATTATGGTGGACATCTTTTTCTCACGTATTTATGTTGTGAAAATATTATTTCAAGTAGACGCTGAATTTGCGGACATCTTAAATGTCCCTAGAAAAGACCAAAAACGTGAGAATATTAACACGTATTTATAAATATATTTTCTATGATGGATTATGGATTACAAGGGACTTCTTTTTCATGTGGATGAAAAGTCCACCCTCAAGAATGATATTTATGTTTATTTTAGATTTTGATCTGGAGATTATATTAAAAGTAATTAATTGATAAAGTTTGGTAAAATATTCAGATAATTAGATCGAATTAAGAATTTAAGAAAATTTGAAGGATGGTATAAAAAGGTTATAAATATTATTTCTATATTTTAGAATGGTGAAATTTGACAATGATCCTTGGAATTTAGATTTATTTTCATGTTAAATTGAAATTGTTAATTATGATAACTAGTTTGTAATTTTTAAAAATATTAAGGGTAAAATAGAAAATTATGAAATAGTTTGTTCATATATGATTTTGAAAATGATTTAAGGAAGATGATGTCATGGATGATGTCATAGAAATGGCATAGTTGAAATTATCGTATTTTTAAAGAGTAAAATTATAATTTTATATTATGTTTATTTAACTAAATATTTAGCATGTGTACATGAGATATTTCTCATAAAAAACCTAGAAAAGATGTCTTGTTCACCTTTTTCTCTATAAATTGCCGTGGATTCCATGAAAAAGAAGACGGTGTATGTTTTCTTTCTTTTTTTTTCTTCATTTTAGTCATTTTTCCTTTGATTTTTAGATTTAGTTATGAAATAGAAAAATGATTCATATCAAATTTTCTATCATTTGAGGATAATCTCTCATTGTTTCTATGCTAGAGTCATTGGATTATTGTTGATATGGAAATAATTGTGAATAGATGAAAATGATGTGTTGTTGATGAAATTATGATTAATTAAGTTGAAAATTAAGCTTGATATATTTCAATTAATTCGAACTAAAGGAAAAGACAAAGAAAATTGTGGAAAGATTTTATAAGGACTAGAAATGATGTATGAGTGATTCTACATGCTTAGATTATGAATTGAACCAATTTGGAAAAAAATGTGAAAGTATAGGGATTTAATTGTATAAATTGAGAAATATGGATATTAGTGTGCAATGTCTAATAATTGATGTATTACGTTAAAATTGAATGTTGGAATGCTAAAATTGATATTCGGATGATGATTTGGATCAAATTAAAAACTTGTGAAATTATAAGGACTTATTTGAATTTTATGGAAAAATTTAGGGATTGAAGTTAAATTATTTAATAGATGATGTACTATGCTTGAACTAAAAAGTTAGAATGCTGAATTTGATGTTAAAATGTGAAATTGAACTAATTTGGAAATTTGGTAAAGCTTAGGAATAAAATCATAAATTATAGAAAATATGAGGACTTTAGTGAAAATTTTGTAATTATTGAGGTGCTATATATTTGAATTAAATTCTGGAATTTTTAGTTGTGCTAATTGAAACTTGAATTGAAGTAAATTTGTAAAGATTGGGGACCAAATTGCATAATTGTATAAATTATGGTTTAAAATAGAAATTAGTATAAGTTAATGAGTAGAAATTGAACATGTTGTTGGATAGTTCGAATTTATTTAATGATATTTGCATTTAGGATTAAATAGCTAAAAGGATTATATTGAATAAAATGTAAAAATTAAATAAAGTTGAGGATATAACCGACAATTGTGTAGTTATTTAAAATATTTAAGTATTATATTCCACTAATAATTTAATGTTAAAATGTTGATTTTAGACTAGTTTGTAAGTTTGTTAAAGTTTGGGAACCAAAATGTAAATTGCATAAATTGTGAGTTTGAAATTTACTAAATAAATATCAATATTAAAGCACTTGAAGTTTAAATAATAGAATGGTGATTTTGATGTTAAAATATTAAATTGGAATTGATTTGGAAATATGTATAAATTCAATAACTAAATTATAAATATGAAAAAAAATTATGAGTTAAAATAGAAATTGTATATAAAATAATATGTGAAGTATAAATAAATTATAATATTAAGTTATTATTAGAAGGGCTTGGAAGAATAAATTATCATGAGAACTAATTATTAAAAGGATTTGGATGGTTAATTTAATAAAGCTAAATTTATTATCAATTTGGTGAAATAAATCAATATTGAACATACGTTAATATTATTGTAAATATATTTATATGAATATGAATTTATTATGTTAGTTAAATATATTAATAAATGAATTGAATAGTGTATGAATGTGATAATTTTTCTATGAATATTATTATATATAAAAAGATATAAGATTTAAATAAAGCCCAGTGTATAAGACTTGAGAGTCATTGGTACTTAAGGTGGAGTGATTCTGTAACTGTATATGTTTTTGTATGCTCGTGTACATCTGTAATGCACTATATGTGCATTCTGACATTATGTTTGCATTATCCGGCATTGTATGTGTATTATGGGTTTCACTATGTTTTAATGTTGTGAGATATCATATCTAATTTTGATTCAGTATAGTGATGATGTGTTATACAATACTTATATTTTTCTTTAGCACTAAAAGTGATATATGTATAGGCAATGTTTATACTGCATACAAGACATAAAATGTGTCATATCGTTATTGGCAGTGTTATACTGCATACAGGGCATCTATGGTGTATACATGGCACTAAATGTGTCATATTGATCTGGCAGTTATACTACATACCGTGCAAAACACTCATTTTTTGACTCATGTACCATGTATTCCCATGATTATACATTGGGATACAAAAATAAATATAGAAGAAATAATACAGTAAAAGAAACAACAATAGTACAGGAAAAGAGACAGTAAAGGAAGAAGGACAATATTGGTTGATTAATATGTTTTATAGTAGAATTTATATGTAAAAATTTATTTAATACTGAATGATTTATAAATGAAAAGTTAAATTATAAGTTAGTTTATATGAAATGAACTGGATAAATCTTATTTAATTGATAAATGGTTTTATACTATGTTTTTATACGATATTTTGTATTAAAATATATGTGTTACATAATATTGGTATGCGGTTTGAAAAGTATAATTTAAATGGATTGAGTCTGAATATGTATATATGTGTGTGTGAATAGTGTTATACATGTGAAAGAAAAAGACTATTATAAGTTTAGTTTACATAAAATACTTGATTTTGACGTTTTTATATTTTTTATGAGATTTTATATTAATTAATATATTTCATAATTATATAATTGATTGTTTAATCTAAATTGTGAATAGATTAAAGGCAAACCATATGTATTTAACTTAAGAACATTTATTTACTTAATGTGGAACTATTATAATAGTCGTTGTCAGTAGATGGTTTTGTGGCGGTAGATAATAACCATAAAGAAGATATTTCAAAAAATTTAATTATAGATATTACAAACGTTATATATACATAGTGATATAAAAGTATATAATAAGAGTTGTGCTAAAATCGTACAGTAATATAATATGAGAAATCGTAATAAAGAAAGAAGAAAATATGATAAGTGGTTATGTATGAATAGTAATAAATCATATTATAAAGATTAATTGGTGTTTTTTTTTCTTCTAAACTAGGCAGTTTTAATAGTAATATGAAGTAATATAGATCTGCCCAATTACTATAAGTAACTGAATGTGAAATATAAAATTAGATATCTCATTATGAATGTATGTAATTAAATAGTTTAATAATAAATATTAAAATTGTTAATTTTAAACGAAGTAAAATTTTCACCAGTTTCAAGTAGGAAATGTTATACAAAAACCATGTGACATCCTTAACTTGTATTCGTATATATATATAGGTTAAGGGTGTTACAATTTTTTATATTGGGTTATTTATCATTGAATCGTTAAATCATTAACGATTGAATGACATGACAGATTAGTGCTAATATGAAAACAAAAATAATTTTTTTACTCTAGTTTATCATTTTGTTCATTAAAATTAGGACTTTTTTCATCCATTTTTAAATGTCACTGTAAATAACTACTCTTCAACGTCTTTTGTGGTCATCCTAGATACTAACAAACTCGTCTCATCGTCATTTACCATTTTATCATAATATTTTATTTTAATCTCTTTATAACTCACGAAATTAAATATAAATAGTCTAGTATTTTTGGGAGTTATGGGACTTTCTTAAATTTGAGAGATTTGAGGTTAATTGTGAGAAGCATTCATTCAAGAAGACGAGCAACATATTTCTAAACTAACCTCATCAGATAGTCGAAGGAGGAGATCAAAGAATTAAAGCGTTGAACCTATAGATAGTTTTTTGTCGATTTTGAGTATAATTCATTAAAAACCAATTCAAGAATAAAAAAGAGTAAAAAGTAAACGACTTAATATTGATTTGGTCGTAAATGACGATTATTGGTAGGTGATAATTGATCGGCAGTGAAGGCCAAAGGAATTGACGTTTTTGCAACAACAAAAAAAAATCATGCCATCGTGCCGTTGATAATTTACTAATCGTGTGACCATAAAAATCAATGTCGAAAGTTTAATGGCAAACTGAAACTCGTCTAAAATTGCACTGCTTGAAGCCTTAAATCTCGTCTAAAACATGCATGCTGTGGTCTTTTGGTTTTCTATGAAATATGATTTATATTCCGGGAAGTGTGAATTTTGATCAAGTCAAGTGAACAAATTTAATTATTTTAACTGACGAGAATCATTTAATTATTTAAAATTTATTTTTAAAAAGTTCAATTAAATTTTTTTTTGAGTTTCTATTCAAATTTAAATGATTGTCTCTTATATGAAGATTTATATATATATATATATATATATATCTTCATATTTTTTTCACATG